CTAAACTAACAAAACTCATTTAAATACTTAACACTATATGTGGGTATAGGGAGCAAGGGTGGGTTTTTTAGTGGGGGGACATAGTACTGTACAATGTATAATGTCTGTGGTCAGCTTGGTTCAGTTTGTTTGGGTCATCATGGTGAAAATCCATTTTAAAAAACTGACAAAAAAAAACTGATGCAGAAGTTATATGGTCCCAAGAGATTTTGTTGAGTGACGTGGATCTATCTATCTATCTTTCTTTTTCTTTCTTTCTTTCTTTCTTTTACAAGAAAGGAACAATGAGGTATATTCTTTGCATCTCTGCTGCCCACCCAAGACCAAATTTCTGGCTATAAAGACTCTTCCTCAAAAGCCAGCATTGTGGGTAGAGTGTCCTGGTGAACCTAACAACCAGATTGGTTGTTGCCATACATTACTGTGACTTCAACTGGGGTGGGTGGGGAATTAACAACAACAACAACAACAACAACAACAACAACAACAACATCTTACCTGGCTCTCCCCATGGATCGAGGTGGGAAACATTACTGCCATCAAGCAAATGCCACCTGACCTTAGACAATAGTCTTAACTTGCCTATGGGTAGAGTCATCCTACACACAAACTGAACATACCACCAAGAAGTGAGGATTTCCTGGGCTGAGTGCACAGTTTACATTTCCCTTTTGACATTATCTTTCTCCTAGTAAACCCACCTTGATTTATTTCTTTTCAGTACAACGGAAAGCAATGTTGAATTAAAATTTAGAAACTCCTTCAAGAAAGTCACCAGGGAGCAACCATCCTGCTGGTGAAGTGGTTTTCTATTTAATCTGCTAATTATCCACCAGAAAATGCAGGTAGCTGCATGTCATTTCAAGGGCACGGAGGGCTCTTCAGCACTCATCAGCTCCACTGTTCACATATTCTGCATTTCTGTCATAAGCTAATGTGGCATAGCCAAATGTGACAAATCACAATGCTGAATGAGAATGGGAGAGAACAAAAAAAGAGAGGAGATTTTTAAACTTTTGTTGGTTTTGAAAGTCATCAATCCACAGAGCCTTTTAAAAAAAATCACCATGGAAATTTGTACTGACTAGGAATCTGTGGAACATCTAAAGCACCCCTTGAAATTATCCACCATGTTTGTGGGCATAAAATAGGGGTGAATGTTTCACCATATTCCTTTAGGAGGAAGAAGAATTCTTTAAGGATAATTTTTTTCCAGGGATGAGAGACATAGCTAACAGTAGGAGTACTAGCAGTGGGAGCTTCTCCATCATCTCAAATTATCTCTTCCTTCTCCATTCTGCTAACAAGTAACATCAGCCACAACAGTCCTATTGGCCTGGTATCTCATTCCAGGCATGCAATGGTCCAAATGGTCCCAAAATAAAGCAGACACTTCAGGCAAGGATAATTCACAAAACAAGGTTAAAGACATTCTAAATACTAAGCTGGCAGGATCCAGAGAATGGGTAAACCAAGCAGGGACAGTACAAAGTCAAAGCCAGTCTACAAGTCTTCAACAGAATAGAAGTCAAGTAATTTACTAACAGGGTCTTCTGTCTGCCTTGGTATATTGTTTCCAGAATTTTTTCCTTGACCTGACATAAGATTTATATAGCTCAGTTCCCATAGGTCTACCTGGGCCTCAGTTGAAGAAATTTTGTCAGAGGTCTTCATCATGAGGAGGTCCTTGTCCGCAAGGAGTAGTTTAACTGAGCAGTCATTCCTTGTACATGGACACTCCTTTTAAGTAGCCATGAGACATGTCTATGCATAGCACTGCTTGAATTCTTTCAGGTGGATAATGATCTTACTTCATTTCCCAATAGGGCTCTCTAGAAAAGGATTCTGTTACCCTCTACTCTAAAGGTTCAGGATCTTCAGAGGTGGTTTATTATGCTGATGCCAACTTAGCTGAGAGGCTCTGGGTAATCTTTTGAATAAGGTCACACCAGTACAGCACAACATCTGGCCACCATTTTGTATTCTCCACCACTCTTCCCTCACTTTTTTTTGGCTTTTATGATGTTTGTGTGTCTGCATGGAGAATTTGATGGAGTTTGTTAATACTTTGTCAGGCTGGTGGCCATTATTTTGGATTTCACTTAATGTTCTATTCCAAAGGAGATTTGAGAAAGAATGGAAGCTAACAGTGGGGATTATTGTTTTCAGTTTCTCCAGAAATCAAAAACGGGAGCAACCTGCCAAAGAGTTGAACAGCTTTGGTCTGTTTTGCTTATTTTCCTTAAAATTCTATAAGTTTTGTAGGGAATGGAACAATTAAGTTGGGAATGTGATATTTTTGTTTATCCCTGATTTTATAGTTTTTGCTTTTGATGCATACAGGGCTTAATGGTATCTTATGGTCATAGTACCTGATAGTATCAGTATCGGTGGCTGCTGGTAAAAGATGATTTTATTTTGGCTCTCCATGAAATATGGGAAAGGATTTTATTTTGTGACCTCAGAAGTACAGATTGTTGATTAAAACCAACTTCAATTGACTGTTCTCTAATGAGTACTGTAGGTTTCTATTTACCAGGAGCCGTGGAATTACAGAGAAATGAACACTTCACTTTCTTTCCCTGGATAATTGATCTGGGACTTAAAATCAATTGCTTTACATCAGGAAAAAATTAAAATAAAACCTGTTTTGGTGGTATTTTACATTTGGCTACAATACTACTTGTACATTTTGGTTTTGATGTATACATATCCATTATGCCTTGCTTGCAGATGAACTCTCTTGGTGCCCATCTGAGAATCACATTGATCAGGAGAATTACCACACTTAAGAAGAAGGAGTGCCTACAATTAGCACTTCTAAAGAGGCTGTCAGTCAATTGGAGATTGCAATTGCTTTAATAAGAGCATTCTGGAATCTTCCACCCTGTTGTTAGGAACTATAAGACTATATCCTCCAAACTGTTAATATGGGGTTCTGTTAGGAGCTAATAAACCTTGAGAATATCCTACTCAGCCAGCTGCTGAGGGTGTCATCTCAGCCAATGAAATGCTACTGGACCACACAGGTTGTTTCAAATGTCAAGGTTCAACTACTGCTCCAATCTAATGGGAACCCAGCTTATGCAGTAATAACCTATCCAGAAAACATATTCAGACCTATCGTTGGCCATTTAGGAAAGTACAATAACATTCCAAATCCACAAAAGTATCATACCTTTATTGGATCAACCAAAATGCACAAAATACATCATGCAAGCTTTTGAAGTTCCACTAGCATCTTCATTAGGCAAAAGTATTAAACTCATGTAGGGGAAAGAAAAAAAAAAAATATGACTATGGGCCTTTGCAGACTGCCAGAAATAGTGCACATTAAATTGAGGCACTGCCCTGGCTCAGTGCTAGGGAATCATGGGAACTGTAATTTATTGTTGCACCAGAGCTCTCTGACAGAGAAGGCTCAATGTCCCAGAAAAAAATACAATTCCCATGATTCCCTAGCACTGAGCCAGGACAGTGCCTCAATTTAATGTGCACTATTTCTGCCAGTCTGCAAAGGCCCTATGTTAGCTTAATTTTGTCAAGATGTTGTTGTTCTCAGTTAAGATGCTATGGCAAGGGGTTATCCATGAAGGCAGGCCACTCCTCCTTCTGACCATGTGGGTTCTGGGAGACAAAGAACCATAAAGTCCAAGAATTAAAATTTAAATTCCATTAGCAACACAAAAAGTTTACTTCCTTTGAGATTCAGGTTGCCTCTGTCCTTTGTGAGGCTCCCAGCCCCTTTGTTAGGAACAAAACGTACCTAGCAACTGTTAATTTTATATTTGTTGTAGCTCACATCACCATTTTCCATTGCAATAAGATTAATATATTTTAGCATATTTTGTTTTCTACCAATGGGCCCCTCCTTGAAAACACTGTTTACTATGCATGCAGCTCAGTGGTTAACTCAGTGGTTCAGACTTGAGTAGACTTAAGTCTGAACTTAAGTCTTAAGTTTTCAGATGTAGCTCCTACCAGATACTCCATGTGCAGTATGAGCATGAGACTCTTCCTGCTCCCTACCATTTATTTATTTTAATTTGCTCGACCAAAAAGCAAACAAAAACATAAACAAAATGTGAGCAAAAATGGTTAGAAATGGACTTGGGTTTTATTCCCTACTGAGCTATGACTTTGGGATAGTTGCATAACTTTGGGACAGTGAATGACTTTGGGACAGTTACTTTTCTTTCTGACTCACAAGGTTGATGTGAGGATTAGGCACGGAGAAAGGAGCCATGCATGATACCTTAAGCTCATTGGAGGAAAGACAGGATTGGTACATAACTAATTACTAATGTCACCTATTCTACCTAAAGATTCTCTCTCTTTTTTTCCCTTCTATCTTCCAAAAATCCCATGATGAGTTACCTTTCAGGATGATCCATATAACTGTCAATTTGGATATTTGCAAAGGCGTTGCTTTATTTCCCCCAGTCTGCTTTGGTGCAAGCTGTTGTCTTTGTTACTAGGAACAAATTAACTTCCAGTTCAGTCTTATATCTGTTTGCTTCAAACTGTATCCATGCAGTGCAATCTCATAGATACTTGGAAGTAAATCCCACTGTGCCAAAGACAAATTATTCTTATTTTAGTGTCCTAATTAGTATTCAGAGCCTCCTGGATCATTATTTGAAGATTGTTGCATATGAAGATGAGTATTCAATTATACATACAGCATCCATCTCCCCCCCTCTCTTTCACACACACACACACTTACACATTTTAACATCACTTGCAATTCTATGGAATAGCTGCCTCCCTCATTTTGTCACATATAACTGTTCCTAATGAAGATAACTTAAATTCAATTGCTAGCACCAAATAGTTTGATGTTGTTGTTGTGTGCCTCCCAGTCATTTTTGATTTATGATAACCCTAAGGTGAAGCTATCATAGGGTTTTCTTGGTAAATTTCCTTAAAGGAGGTTTGCCATTGCCATCCTCTGAGGCTGAGAGCATGTGACTTGCACAAGGTCACCCAGTGGGTTTTTAAGCTTGAACAGGGAGTCAAACCCTGGTCTCCAGAGTTGTAGTCCAAAGCTCAAACCACTACACCATACTGTCTCTCCTTCTAAAAAAAAGACCTATTGAATCAGTGAGAGTTACACTATTGATGGTTAATCATTCAACAATTGATTTAATGTCTCTAATCCAAGTGGGACTAGCAATCACATATAGGGCTGTATAATACTCTTACAGTTCACTTTTGAAATTCAACTGAATGTAGAATTACTTTGGTGAAGAGGAAAACCACTAATCTATAATCATGAGGGTTGTGTGTAACCATCACTAAGTATCATCCTGCCTTAATGTGCATCAATTGTTTAGATGGCTTTATAACTGTATTAGACATATTTATAAAGGATAGGCCTATCAATGGCTATTATATTAGCCATTATATCCACAAATATTGTAGTGTAGAGTATAGGAAGATAATCCAGCTTTCTTGATGTAATCATGAATCATTTCTGTCTCTATGCATATAGACAAAAACTGGGGAAAAAACAAAAACAAAAAATGATTGATGAAAGAACTGTGCCAGTAGGCATCTACTTCTATATAATACTGTAAACTTAGATACAATTCTGGAGCATTTTCCCCAATCCACATACTATGTTTTTATAAAATAATAGAACACAGGGTGACTTGTCACAGACATAAAATTGTCTGTTAAGAAAAAATCTGCACTCCTCCAAAAAGATTTATTTTCTTACTGTAGACTCTCACTGTATATTAACATGATGGGCAGCAAACTCAATTTTTGAGTGTAAGAGAATGAGGTATTATTTTTAATTTTAAAAGAGGAATTATGGAGGATTTGAGGAGAAAATGGATCTTTGAAGAGGTTTAAATTAAAATGAAGTGAGATTGAGCCTTTGGATGATGCTCTGTTGAGGGAGAGCGACAATCATTTTGAGAAGATTAAGACCAGATTAACAGAAGAGCCTGTGATAATTATGAAGTTCAGATGAATTGGTGAAATCCCCCAAATGAAATTCAATGTCATTTCCACTAAAGCCCCTTTGGTCCCCCCCCTTTTATTAATTAGTTCATCCATCTCATTTTAAGAGGTAACTTGTCAAAAGAAAATCAATCAATCTGTCTGGATGTGAAAATATAAATGCTAGGATGGAAACTTGAGAAATAACACATTATGGAGATTGAGAAGTGAAAATTTCAAAAGGTGCAAAGTTAATTGGTGGTCCTACAAGGTCACTGCTAACAGTGCATAAGAAAGTGATTTATCACTCTCCCCCCCTCTGGTATCCTCTTTGTGATGCAAAGATCATCTGGGTCAAGTTTCTAGAACCTTTAGAATCAACATTTGAAGTGTTCAGATAATCCAATATACTGCTCAGACTCTTCTTGAAATCCTCAAGTGAGAAATGGTCCCTCACAGCTCTAGTGAACGAATCCTATTGCTTAAACACTCTTACTGTTAAGAAATATTTTCCAATAGTTAACTCAATGAGTCATAGAATACAATCAGAGTTGGAAGAGACCACAAGGCCATCCAGTCAAACTCCCTGCGATGAAGGAAGATGCAATCAAAGTAGTCCCAACTGAAGGTCATCTTGCCTTTGAAAAAATGCTTCAAAGAAGGGACTTCCACCACAATCTGAAGCAACATATTCCACTGTCAAACAGCTCTTACAATCAGGATGTTCTTGCTAATGTTTAGGTGGAATCTCTTTTCCTGTAGCTTGAAACCATTGCTCCATGTCCTAGTCTCTGGAGCAGCAGAAAATAAGCTTGCTCAATCCTCAATATGATATCCTATTAAATATTTAACCATAGCCATCATGTCACTTCTTGATCTTCTCTTCTTCAGGGAAAACATGCCCAGCTCCCTAAGTCTCTCCTCATAGGACATGTTTTCCAGAGCTTTCACCATTTTGGTCAACCTTGGCAGGATACATTCCTGCTTGTCCACATCCTTCTTGAGTTGTGGTGCCCAGAACTGGGAACAGTAACTAGAATCTCCCCTTATGTAACATAATATCATTAGATCTGATCCTACTTTCTGGTTCTTCTGAGAACAGATATTTCCTTATTTGATGTGACAATTACTGAGATGAGTGAAGCTAGCTACCACATCCAACCGAAGCCTTTGCATTCACTAGGCTAAGTATATCCATTTCCTACTATTTTTCCTCTTAAAAAATACCTTGCTCATACTTTTGGCCATCTTCTTTAACCTTAATTGGACTAACATTTCATGACATAGGGTGGATAAATCATAGCCTAGATATTACCTGCTTGAATGCAATGGCTAGCAATCAGGAGGGGATCTCAATATTGTAGCTGTTTTTAATGCACTTTTGTTGCTGAATTTGAAAAAAAAAGTTTCACAAATTTGACATTTTCATCAATACAGTTGTTACTCAGCTTTGATTAAGTGCAGACACTGATGTTCCAGTGTGCTTTCTTTTAGTGCTTTTGAATAGATTTTGTGTTTCATATCAGTAAATTAAAGTCCCTTGAATATCTATTAGGAGGCTTTAATTCCTCTCTTACTGTTTCTAGGATAATTTGCAGAATCGTTTCATTCAGTTACATATTACAACATAGAAATGTCAAAGCAAATTGTGAAAAAAACTGTAATTGATGGAACAAATTTGAGCTCATTTTGGATTTAGAATGCCAAATTCCTATTATTATTACAATAATAATAATAATAATAATAATAATAATAATAATAATAATTAATAATAATAATAATAATAATGTGACCGTCAGTTTTACAGTCCTGTGTTATTTTTTTTAAAACCTCATTAGTTTTCCTTCCTCCCAAATAAAGAAAACAAGGTAACAATACTGAAGCTCATGTACTTTGGAAATATCATGAAACAACATGACTACTGGAAAATATAGTAATGCTTGATAAACTGAAAGGCAGTAGGAAAAGAAGACAAGTGCACTATAGTTAATTGATTCAGTCAAGGAAGCTACTGCCCTAGGCTTGTAAGACATAAGTATGGCAATTGATAGCCAGGGATCTTAGAGGTCTCTCATTCATAGGATTGCTATAAGTCAACTTGATGGCAAATAACAACAACACATTACATCCATTAAATGGTCATGGCAGGGTGTTGACCTTTACAGACCTTAAGGTCTCTTCAAACTCCATGATTCTATGATTCTAGAAGGAGAAGGCAGGAAAGATGAGAATGAGGATCAGGGACTACATCTACTCCCACTGTAGTTCTTGGGGGAGACAGGGAAGAGAAAGGAGGTTGTTTCTCTTCTTACCTCTTGCTAGCTGTAAGAGAAACAGGTGGTAGTCTACAAAGCTTGGGCTCCTCTTTGACTCCTCCATAGTCATTTAACATCTGCAGTCGTGCCCCATGGAGCTTGACAGCTGCCTGAGAGGTGCATTTTGGATGCTCTACAAGCAGCTAGTTAATATCATTTCATTACCCTTCCAAAATAAAACACATGTGCATATAAACTCAATATACACACATATATGTCACCAACAAGTTTCCAGCCGCAGAGTAGCATATTCTATGTAGCATATCCTATGCTTCTTGAGCTAGTTTGCTTTCCTCTCATGTGGTGGAGGACATCTCCATTGTTCAAGTACATTTCCATTGCTAGTGGAATGGAGAAGGGTTACCGTATTGTTGTTTGCCACAGGCAATGCAATATAGTTGGCACTATCCTAGATTTCATAGAAACAAATCAATGCAGCAACCCTTTCACTTTTTAATATAGTTCCAAGAAGAAGAAGAAGAAAAAGAAAAAGAAGATCAAATCTATTTGTGTACTGCTCTGTTAACCAATGATATGTGCCAATGGTTATAAGAAAGCAAAGGTTGGCATTACTGTTTGCTCTGTTCCTCTGGCTTTAAATATATTTCAGTTTCTTCTATGTGTAAATTGGTGTTTATTTTTAAAAAATCCCCAAGAGCAAAATGTAAATAAATAGATTGGCAATATGAATGATATAGCATTCCTTTTGATATGTAACAAGCATTATGACCAGATTATTAAGGAGGAGAGGTGGGGAAGATGCTTCCCAACATCCAAGGTGGTTTTGAAAAATAGATACCTGAAAAGCAAGTGATCATCTAATTATTTCTGTAAATAAAAAGAAATAGCATAAAATATGTGCAGTCAGCTTTCACTTCCTTTGCTGTCAGCAGTTGTTACTAACATCCTGAGCCATAAGCTACTGCTGTTCTTTACTCAGCCGCTTGCTGAGAGCCTGAATGAACAATATTTCTCATTCATTTTATCATGGGGGAGATACAACTTCCTACAAACAGCCGTTGCCACCACAAACTCGTCAAGGGAGGCTGAGAAAATCGAGATAATGGGTTGCTGTGCTTACCCCAAAACATGATGGAGAGAAGGGAAATTGGTTTGTCTGCTGGCAGTTGTTCTGAATTAGGCTGTTTGCAGCAAGAAGTATGGGCTCTGTTAGAGATGGAATGCCTAGTCTTTGGGAGACATGTCAAAGTCATCAATGAGCCAATCCATATGTGCATTTGTGGGCTTGCTCAGATGCGCACTGGATGTCTTTTGACCAAGACTGTGGTAAGAAAGAAAGAAAGAAAGAAACCACCTGCAGAACTTTCTAATGGATACTGAGAACAGTACAATCAGTTTTTCATCTAAGAAATAGGTGGATAACTCTTGGGAATGCAGGAGGATGCATTGTCCCCATGGGCTGTTGTTACTGTGAGCCTTCAAGTATTTTTTGACTTATGGTGACCCTAGGGTGACTTGTTCATGGAGTATTCTTAGCAAGATTTGTTCAGAGGAGGTTTACCTTTGCCTTTGGAGTTTATTGCACTTCGTTTAAATTGACTTACCTCAGTCATGTTTAATTCTGAAGCTGAAGTCTATTGTACACACCAGGAGCTAGGCAAGTGCTACTCTGCTGCATCCCAGACCCCAGCCACACCTAGTCAGCATCCATTAAAAAATGGTATGGCTGGGGTCTGGGATGCAGCTGGGTTTGTTATACAAAGCCAGTAGTTTGGGTAGCCAAAACTACAAAGGGGTAAGATAAAAGTGTTGTTAGTCATAGCAGTCCATGGACAAGGAAGCTCAAG